CCCCTGTGACTTTTGGGCTCACATGTGGTTTAGTGACTTTGGTGACCCCAGGAGATGTGAAAGAAAAGCAGAGGTTCACCTCCCCCATTGTGGCCTAGAGATTCAGGTCCCTTCGTGCTTGTGTCGCGTGATTGTAGCTTAGCAGGGGAGTGGGGTCCTTGCACGTAGCATACTAAACCCTGAACTTTCCAGGGCAGGGTAGGCATCCATAAAGCTGGATGATGAGCAGACTGAGATGAAGGAATAAATGAAAGCAACACCAGGAGTACTCTGGAATCTGGTTTATTAGCTGAAGGTTGGAGTAGATATTGAGAAGCACCCAGCAGCTCAGATGGGGTCAGGAGCTGGGCCTCCCCAGGTTGTTCTCACCTCAACCCACCATTCAGGGGGCAAGGTAGATTGAACTGCCAGAACTGAGAGCATCCTGCCGGGAGGGAGCAGAGGGCAGCGAGCCCCTGCTGTTCTAGCATCCAGCACAGGCGGCATAGGCACAGAGCTCACAGGTACTTGGGTCCTCAGCGATGGCCTCTGGACAGGAGAGATGGGCCTCATGAGAGCCAGTTTCCCCTCCCCAAAGACCCTGCCCCATGTCCTTGAGCCAGACATTGGACATTCGCCACCCAGCCCTGAGGAGAAACTCAGGCCTGTTCTCTCGGACCAGCTGGGCTTTCTGCCCCAACCCAGACACAGGTGCCACTCAAGCCAACCAATCAGAGCAAAAAGTCTACCCAGAAAAGAGCTACAGCTAAGACTGGATGAACCAGGCAGGACCTTCCTAAAGTAATTACAACTGAGAACTAATTATAGCAGAGGGCTTGTATGACCCACCAATCAGAGCAGAGCCCCTTAGTCTCACAAATCAGAGCAGAGCCCACCTCTGAATCCCACCAATCAGAGCACATCTCTCCCTCATTCAAGGAATTCCCAAGCTCCGCCCCTCAGAGAGAAGGCTACTCACCCAGCCTCTGGAGGATCTCCTGGGCATTGGGCTCCTTGCAGAGAGGCTTGAGCTCTTTAGGAAATTTAGGATTGCCACATTGGTTGGGAACCATGGCTCTATCAAACTTCCTGCGATTCCAAATGCTGGGCTTTTGAAGCTGCTGGAGGTCCTTGAGTTTCTTCACTGACTCCAGAGGAAAGGAGAATTTTCCATCCTGAGAGAGACATGTCCAGAGCATGAGGCCAGGCTGCAGCCTGCTCCCACAGGGCTGGCCCCTCTGCAGCCCCAGGGGCTCAAGCAGTGTTTGTGGCATATAGGAACCATGTGCTCCACGGCTGGGCAATATGAGGTGGTTAGAGCTCAGGACTTACAGCCAGACACTGGGCTTGAATCCTGGTTTTGCTTTGTGACCATGAACGGGACATTATATTCTGAGAGCCTTAGGTTCTACATGTTAGATGAGGAATGGCGAAAATGGATGTGAGGTGTCAGGGACATAATAGGTACTCGATATGTAGGAGCCATTGTGCTGACTTTCAGGGAGAGGCACAGAGCAGGACCCAGGACCCAGGCACCCTGGTTCCATGTGGCCACTCCCAGGCTGTCTTTGCACCTGCCTGACAGCGCTGCCAGCTAATCCCTCGGTCCCCAGCTCCAGCCTGCAGCCTGCAGCCTGCAGCGTGGTTGATGTTTGAAAAGCAATAAAAGGCCTTCCGGAGCCTGTGAAAGAATGTGGGGCCCCTGCTGGGTGCCAGCCTGTCCTGTCCCTGGCATCCACACCAGTGGGCACACCGTTCCATCAGGACCTCCAGGATGTCCACATGAGCCCTGAGACCCAGACCGGTGCTCTGGCTGAGTGCAGGACTGAAGGAGGAGGAAGGTCTGGAATCAAATCCAGCTCCTTTACTTCCAGCCTTGTGCCCATGACCACTTCCAGAACCTCTCTGAGGTTCAGTTTTCCTCCTCTGAAAAATGGGACTAATAATCCCTTCATCCCAGGGTGATCAGGGGGCCACAGTGAGGTACTGGAGGAGCCTGGCCCATGGCGGGAACTCAGTAAATTGGCTGGTCACCTGCTTTCCCAAATGGCTCCTTCTCTTCTCCCTGCCTCATGTTCTTTCTTCTCCAAGTTCGAAGGGGAAGGTCCATGAGGCAGGTCTGAGAAGGAATCTCTGAGGAAGAGCCACGCCTTAGACACACACCCCAACTCCAGCCCCAAAGAGAGGGTCCTGTATCAGGGCATGGACGCTGGGCACCGGGGGGCAGACAGACAGTTGGACTAGGGTAGGGACAGGACTTACCTGCACAGTGACTCCCTCTGCCAGGGCCGCCCAGGCCCCGAGGAGGCATAGTGTGGCGAGCAGGAAGGTGTTCATGGCAGCAGTGTCCAAGAGAGAGGAGTGGCTTGTTCCAGATGCCACCCCGCAAAGCAGCGGGACTTTTAAAGACGGCATGGTTACTGAGTAACCCATGAGACCTTGTCAATATTTTATCTGTTCACCTGTCAACTCAGGCCTAATCAGATAAGACTCCAGTGCCGGCCGAGTGACGCGATGGTTAAGAACTCGCTTGGGATGCCAGAGGGCCCCGGTTCGGATCCCACATATGAGGGCCAGTGACACTGCCCTCCACAGCTAAGATGCTGAACAACAGCTCAACCTGGAGCTGGGCTGCCGTGAGTCACCGGCGACAACGTAGGCTGCAGCCCCTGTGGCAGTGGGTTGCCATGGGCTACCGTATGAAGCCAACAGCCAGCGTGAGCAGCAAGCCGCCGCAGTGAGCGGCCGTCCAGAAGCCGGTGACTGATCTGCTTCACCTGGGAAGAGCGCAATGATGGTGCCAACTTGGGCCAGTGAAGCAACGTCCTCCACAACTAGACTGAAGAACAAAACGACAGCAACTTGTCTGTTTCCCTTCCCCCAATTCCCCAGCACTGTTCCCATCCCCCAATACCCCAAGTTAAAAAAAAAAAAAGACTCCAGGTAGCCCTGGCAGATAACAGATCAGCCCCCTCGCTGGGCACCTACTCTGACCCACAGCCAGCTGGGTCCTGCATTCATTCACCAGCCAAACACACTTACTGACAACTGCCCTGGCCAGGCAGCTAGCCCATGGAGAGGGGCCCAGACAGTGTCCATGCAGGGTGATTAGGGGAGTCCAGGGGCAGAGGAGTTCAGGGAGGTTTTCCAAAGGAGGTCATGCCAGTGCCAAGTCCTGGAGAATAGGTCGGCATTTTCATAGAGAAGGGGTTGGGGGGAGAGGCCGCTTATGGCAGAAGATGCTCCATTTGGGACAGTCAGCAGGTGAGATAGGCCTGGAACGTTCCGGGAAACGTGAGTAATTCAGCCTGAGGAGAGGAGAGCCTTGTGCAGGGGCTTCAGGTGCAGAGCGGTGAGGCTGCAGAGCAAAGCAGGCACCAGGCATGGCCACTCTGACTTTGAGGAAGGACTCAGCTCGACCATCCCACAAGCCTGGGTTCAAGTCCTAGCTACTGTCCAATTCCCATGTGTGTGAACTTGGGCAAATTGTTTCCCCTCTCTGAGTCTCAGTTTCCATTGTGTCCTCTGTGGGAACCAATAATATCTGCCTTGTGGAGTTATTTTGAGGATGAAGTGAGGTGATAAAACTGCTCAGCTCAGTGCCTGACACCTAGAAAGCGCTCCGTAAAGGGTCACTCTGTTATTATTTGTGTCAACAGCAGCATCTGCTTCTGGTCCCCACTGGCCTCTCTA